GTTCGTTAAATTTCTGTTAAAGCAGTTAGGCCTTATTACCCTACCATAGTACAATAATGCCTACTAGCAAGATTTTCAGAAATGATTAATTTTATTTTTGTTCATGACCAATGCTACAATTCTTCTTTCATACTTTATAGAAACTGTACTAAACTAATGATTTTTATTAAAATCTATAGACCAAATTACTACTCGTAGATGACTGAGGTGAGATAGATGGTGTAGTTTCATTGAAGCTTTTATAGAACATTGAAATAACATAAGATATATCCATTCCAGTTCTTAGTTCGCTACCCCACTTTCCCCTATAAAATACAATAACTTCATTTAGTCATGTAATAAAATGGCTGCAGTGAGATAAGACTCCTCAGAGCCAAAAATACAGGCCAGAAGTCGAATCACTTGTTATTGCTAATTGACTTGACCCAAGCCTACCTAAGTGACACAATGACGCGCTAACTGGTTCGCACGCCGTCACCTCTTTGCAGCCCCTGACCATGCTATGTGGAAATCATTGGGTTAATTAGGTGTATACCTACGCTGTAGAACATAATTACGGTCGGAGCGAAGTGGTCTATTGTCTGGAATAAACATCGTATTTATTATGATATGATGAATTATTTTGATTTAAATTAATGTACCGTCAAGTCGTGGCTCTATCAAGTATACGTGGTAGAGCCACGTTGCAGCTATATTATGGTTGTAGCACGAATGGGTCGGCTCAACCGGAAGGACCACGCTCTCAGAGAATACCAGCTTAAAATAACAGCTTGATGCTACTGTGTCGATACACAGTAGCAGTAGCACTCAACGATTTGAGTGTAGAGAACCGGAGATCCTTTTTATTGGAAGCGAAGCATTCCATCACAGTCCTCAGGGGTGACAACGCATCTGAATTTTGATTCTTAATTGAGGATAAATGTAGATGTCTACGGGATACAGCATTCGCTTACCATCAGGTGGACTGTTTGCTCGTTTGTCACCCTTATTCTGTAAAAAAAGTCAAATTAGGCATTTTAAAATGATTTCAGTGTAAAGTGTATCCGTAATTAACACCTTCTTTTTCATCAGCCAGCAAAGTCTACAGAATTTACGGAGACGGATAGACGGCCCCATCGCCTGTTTGAGCTTTGAGTATTTCACGTATGGAGTAAATGAGATGGTATAATATCGTCGTGTATCGCAAGCCATAAGGTTTTTCTGGCATTTGCAGAACTGACCACACCGTCGGAACGAAATCACATGGATTCTTCTACGTCGCCACCACACTGCACGAAATAAGAACTGCTTTTCATGAAGATTACGATATGGATTTATAATCTAAATTATTGGTCTTATTAGTACAACAACAACATGTAGTATTATTTACTTCTAGTATATTGTATTTGAAAAACAATCTTCACGTATTACAATAATATATGTCAAATGTTGTCCTCCTGGACAATTTCGATGACAATAACAACTACGAATGGCGTCGGAACTAAAAACTTCACATTTTTTATAGAAGAAAGTTTAACAAACGATCACATAGTTCACCTAATGGTAAATGCATGCTATGACCACCGTTTTATCTTGATGATTCAGCAATTAAGAATAAAAATGCAAATGCGCTGTCACCTATGTGGACCAAGATGAAAAGTCCCGTTAACATTAGAAAAGGTTACTACCGCATAAGTGTCCTCGGTAATACCGAGCTATTTATCTCACTTTATTACTCGTACCTGATGTGGAGTGCCAAACAAACGTGGACGATCACAACACAAACAAAACCAAAATTTAACAATTTGTGTTTTTACACAAACACTACAAACAACGTTCAGTATTCGAATAAGGATTAAATGATAAAGTCGCCTATCAACTAACTTCGTAAACTACTTACTGTTAATATAACAACTTTTTGATTTATATTATCTTGGTAATAGTACTTATATCTGATCCATAATAGTTTTGAATATTCCAACGAATTATCTCGGTGGAATATGAGAAGTACCTTATATATATCTCATATTCTACCAAACATTACCTATATTACCTACACGTAAAAAGAAGATCGTGGACTAAGATTTTAGTCCGCGATCTTCTATTCGATATACAACAGAAATAGTTTTATTAAAATGTTTATGAGAGGTAGCAGACCAGGGGTAAAGCGCTTGCTATAAATTTAGGTAAATAGTACGCGAGCAACCTAGGTTCGATCCGTGGCCAACACCAACGAAATTGGTAAGTGTAATTTAATAGCTGATATATCAAGTGCTCGGAGATATAAAAATATTTCGAAGACATGTCAAGTCCGCCAACACACACTGGAGCAGCGCGACAGACAACTCGTAATTGGAGAAATCCTATCATGCACCCAGCATTGACGTATAAGTGATGAACTTTACTTTTTTACTTTAGAAATGTTTATGTACCTATCTATATAAAATTTTATGATCGACAGGACTGCTCGCAAGACACCTGTGAAGTGCGTTGATTTAGTTAAAAGCTAGACTCGGTTTGCACGCTAACACACCGAGCCGAATACGGAGGCACTGTCGCTGCATAAGCCTGTCTCTGTTCTACTATGCATCTATATTGGCAAAACTTATGCATCCGCTTCTAATCAATTCGAAAATCATTTCGCTGGCCTAATTTATAAGATAAGTGAATGAAAATTAGATATCAATTACGATATAGTTTTTAAAAAATCCTCTCCAAAAAGGAGATTTTCTGTTCAAAGATGAGTCAATGACGAATGTCACAAAATTATTACTTCTAGTATTTCCTACACACAAAAGTACGTAAAACAAACAGCGCGTAAAGTGCCCGTGGCGTGCAACTAATTGCGCTAAAGACATTATTTAGCAATTAGATTAATCAGCAGGACCTTCATATATTTATTAAATGTTACACTTTGTTTGGCGATCTGCGTTAGGTATCTGTAACAAAATATTTTACAGACTTTTTTTATATATCCATAGCTAACAACTCAGGTGTGGTGCTATTGTGGTGTTAGGTGTTATTGCTGGTTGTTTTAACCGAGTTCATAAAAGAGAAAGTTCTATAATATGTGCATGTTTTATATGTAGGTTCACTGTTTTCTGAGAAACGGGTTTTGTATAGAAGTATATAGAATTTTTTTGCATAGAAGAATAAGGGTGACAAACAAGCATGGATGCTGTAGTCCATAGACATCTACATCTAACCCAATTAAGATGTTAAATGCAGATGCGTTGTCACCCCTAAGAACTAAGACGGAATGCTTCGTTTCAACTAAATAGTGTCTCCGGATCTCTACATTCACCATACGGAACACAGCAGCATAACGCTGGTATTCTTTGAGAGCGTGATCCTTCCCCAGACGAGCCGACCCATTTGTGCTACAACCATATAGCTGCAGCGTGTCTCTACCACGTAATACCTAAACCGATTTTATTGATTCCTTTTTCACCCGGAAGGGTGGAAAATAGAGAATAAAGTTTTTAATATAAATATTTAGACAACGTTTTAGTTAACTTGAAATTGTGATATTCCTTGGTCCATTCGAAAGAAGAAAAAATAAAACTTTTTTATAAAAGTAAAACCAACTTCATAAGAAAAATCGACATAATAGTTTTTGAAGTCAGTGCTAAGACAGTATGTTTCGAAGCTCTTATACCTACACAGTGTACACTGGTGTACACACATAGTAATTTTGAGTGGGATTCGAATATGCAGGCCGCCTTACCACATGCCACGTAAGTGAACCAAAAATGGTTTCCTTCGTTTATAATGTCTTTAGACAATTAAAAAAGACATTACAAACAGAAAGTCTCAAAGATACCTAAGTAGGTATCTTTGAGACTTTCTGGCAAGAGTGAATATAGAATAGCCTTTTGTTTACAAAAGCCAGTCCGCCTTACAATCAACCACAAAAAAAATTTGATTAGTTAATTTCGATCATGGGAAATATAGTAAATTAAATAAATATCAACTTGTTTTTCTTCAACGATTAAGTATTATTGTCTTGCTTACTTTTGCTTAACAATGGAGTGTTAAAGTAAGTCAGGGTCACTAACCACTAGACCAACTGGCCTGTTGGTCTAGTGGTTAGTGACCCTGACTGCTACGCCGGAGGTCGTGGGTTCGATTCCCACCCAGGACAAATGTTTGTGTGATGAGCACGATCATTTGTTCTGTGTCTGGGTGTAATTTATCTATAATATTTATGTATTTAGAAATATATAAGTATGTCTATCAGTTGTCTAGTACCCATAACACAAGCTCTGCTTAGCTTGGGACTAGATGGCGTTGTGTGATAGTTGTGGAATATATTATTATTAATTTCTTAAAATTTTAATCATCTTTTATGAAGACACTGTTTTTTTTTTTAAATATATGTTTTGTTTTTATAAAATTGAAGAGGCAAAGGATCTTACAGTCCATCTGATGGTAAGCGGCTACCGCAGTCCATAGACGCCTGCAACCAACTTTAAATAAAGAATGCTACACGCATTGTCACCAGGATTAAGATGGAATGCCTCACACCAAACTTACTGGCTAATTTAGTCTGCGTAAAATAGGAATAATAAATTTTGCCCCACTTGAGCTCACTGCGCACGTGTTAAATAAATATAAAAGGACATAGGAAGAGGTCATAACTATTTAAAATAAAGTCATGCTTATTTGGATTGTATATTTTTACACAAATGTAAACACATACAGTTAGTTAAGAGCATTACAGGAGAATTATGGCAATGCATTTGGCACTAAAGTGAAGCGGCATTGCGACTCTACGTCGCCGCCTTCCCAGATTAATGGCGAATGCTGCACTTTTACTGTACACTGCTGTTTGTAGTTGTACACTTACTGACCGAAAAGTTAATAAATTATACAAAAAAAAAACTTAAAAGTATATAGCGTTTAATAGTTGCGGTTATATACGGTTATATATCTTACATCATATTCTATAGTATAAAAAACACATAAAGATAGATGTTTTAACAGTTGATTTAATGGCGTAGTATAATTACTGTATATTTTTAATTGGGAATATTTACATTTAAATAATACAAATATGGTTCGTCAGTATCATAGACATCTTTTAAAACCTCTAATACCAGCGCTTGAATGTGGTTTACCTGAAATAAATTAAAATATAATAAAATGAAAAAGTTTGATGTAATTAAAGTTTTAAAATACAGAAATAAACAAGATACTTTCAAGTTGTAGTATTGCAATATGAAATTTGAAAGAAGACATATTTTAATCTAGGTGCTGGTTCTCCTTTGAGGCCGTTTGGTTTTTGGCGACGAATCTACTACAGATTGTTAAACTTTGCATTACCAGAATATAATTATTAGTTTTTAAACAATGGATTTGCAATCCCGAAGTTTTAAAGTACCAGCAGAATTGTTAATTTTTTTTTAAAATAAATATGTAGTTACACACTAAATTACTGCCCACCTGATGGTAACGCATTAACATATTCATTCATTCATTACACCCGTTCAAATTGCACTGCAGAACAGGCCTACCCCATAGATTTCCACAAAACACGGTCCTTAACCAGCTAATGAATGTAGGTCGTTCATCAGAAGGCCTTTTATAATAATAATCATAAAAGTTATACATTTTTATCGAAAGTAAATATTTTATAAATACTAACTTGAGTTGGAGGACAATAACCGTCTTCCGTGGATCGAGCCACTGTTATTAATACTGGTGCAGGCAAGAGGCTTAAAAAATGTTTTAAAGTATTCGTAATAGTCGTTCGTATTTCCTCATCCGAGCTTATATGATAAGGCAAGCCACCTTGATCTCTTGTGCACCCAGCGGCAAATACCGCCCACCAGTCAGGTTTCTCTCCAAGCCGTTCCGCTTCCGCTGATACAACATCCGCTAAGTCGGATACCTTAAAATAACAAACAAATATTATTTAAATTACACAAAAATAAGTAAGGTAAAAATGTTTTCGGCTCACCATCTTAAATAAATCGGATTTTTCTCCTTCATAGTTTCGAAAACTGTTGTGTTTTTCCAAATACTGAAATAAATTCTCAAGTTCTTGCAATTGGCGCTCCCGTAACTCGACAACTTTCTTCACTGTCTCCACATCGTTATCGTCCGGGAGTTGAAAACCAAATATTGGCTCCAAGCGATCGTACAGTTTGATATTTTCATACAAACTTAGAAATGGATTTCCTGTGCTGAAGAAATCTAAATCAATATCAAGTACATAAGGGTGACGTACATTAAGACCTTTAGTAAAATTTACTAAATTATTTTCTTTTGAAATTGCGTTAGATAGCTCCATGACTGTAAATGTAAATTTTCTAGCGTTTTTGAGTTCGGACGAGAATAGCGCATCCGAGAGATAATAAGACTCTTTACAATCTACTCGAAGTAACCCCGATGCAGGGTGGTCTCCGACTTGTACGATACGAGTTCCGTCCGCAAATTGTTTCGCCCAGGGCGGCCTCAGCCACACGACACGCTCGATATGACCTGCCGCCGCCGCTGGTACTATCCAATTTTCAATTTGTAACAGGGGCAGTAAGCTTTTTCCGGCTCTTGCTTCTTCACCTTTCAATTTACGATCTATAAGCATATCTGGATGAGCGTCTAGATGTAACAGCGTGATTCCCTCTACTGGCAACTTTTTCCCGCCAATTGCGGCATAAATAAATTGTAATGCGTCGTTATGCTCTTCCACTACGTATACGGGTAATTTTTTGAAACGTTTTAAAGATACATTTTTCGTGCTGGCGTTTTCCATCTTGTTACTTGTTGACTTTTAAAGTCGCGTAGCATATTTATAGCTCATTCATATTCTGTAAAAAAAGAAATATAATATGTATATTGTTGAAGAACATAACTTTGATAATACTAAAAAATTTTTGTTTGCATTTCACGTGTTGTATTTGTTTAATTAATAATCGTTGATGATACAAAGGATAAGGAGGAATATGTAATGTACCTACATACCTAGTAATTTTAAAAAACTATTGGCCTTAGCAGTCAACTACAAATGTCAAATACCTATAGAAAATTAGAAAAGTTACTCCAATCACCCAAAATAAGAATTGAATACCTAAGTATCCGAGGGAAGCCCCGAATTTCTCAAATACTTATTGATATTTGAAACTACGCATATGCAGTAATCGAAGACCTTTGCTCGGGGGTAGGTGACCGGGCACAATTTGTAACGTTCCGCGTTGACAGTGATAAGTAAAAAGACAACAAACAATCTTATTCAAACACAAACGCAGTTACGCGTATAAAATTAATCACGTGCTGTGCGACGCAAAATGACGCAGGGCGCGGTCTTGGCTTTTGTCAATGTCAATACCTAATATTAGGTGCTTACATATGAAATTGGCGTTTTGTACGGGAGGAATATAAAGTCAATTTTTTTTGTAAAATATATTTAATTAATCAAAGTATGCACCATTGTTATCTATGCACTTTTGCCATTTCATAGGTAGTTCATTGATCCCTTTACTAAAAAAACCATGGGGGGCGAGAATCAATAAACTCTTTGAAGGCGGTTTGGACTGCCGCATAGGAGTTGAATTTTTTTTCCTTGTAAGAAGTTGTCCAAATTCCGGAAAAAATGGTAATCTGTTGGAGCAAGGTCCGGGGAGTACGGTGGATGTAGCAGGAATTCCAATTGTAGCTAATCTAACTTAGTGGTTGTTTGATGTGCAGTGTGTGGTCTTGCGTTGTCGTGAAGCAGCAGTGGCCTAGAGCGATTGACCAATCTCGGTTGTTTAGTAGCTAGTTCTTCCTTCATGGTTTGCAGTTTCTGACAATAGATATCTGCCGTAACCAAAGAGGAGATATTTCAGATCAAAGTGGTCAGTACGACAAAACGCTAATTTCATATGTAAGGACCTAATTATTGGTTTATTTAAATCAACGTTGAAAATATTTTAATAGTTACATATTACCCTTATGCTGATTGTAAACCTCCCAATATAAAAAAGATTTAAATAAGAACCAATGTAAGACTGCGGTTTTAGATACAGGTACTGTGCGTATAATTTTACTGATTTATCGTATATATGTTATAAAGTGTGTATTATAATATTATGAAGTCTCATCTGTATTCAAAAATTATTCTCGTTGCTTTATGTACCCGAATTTCGATTTTTCTGTTGCTTTTAAGAGTTATTTATACTGTGTTAGTAGTAAATATATAAAATCGTTTAAAGTATGCCAGACTCAAAGTACTTAAAGGAACAATAGTACAATCTAAAACCGTGAGGAGGCGTCTGAAAGCCGGATTCTTCATCAAGCGTGACCATTACGGCGAATGATCTCAACTCCGTGGCTACGTCTAGCAATCTATATACGGAGTTAATCATGTTTATGACAGTAAATAATATTACTTTCAATGGTGTATTGGAATAAAGTTTCACACAGTTATCTCAGGGAACGTCCGACTTTGAAACAAGCAACATTAATAGCTAAATTCAGCCCTAGATTTAGGCTTAACCAAGAATGCACAAAATGCAGCATGTCTAAAAAATCAAATGAAAGGTATATGTGTTGACGACTGCAGTGCGAGTGCAGTATGGTTCGCACGCCCACACGTCCTTCTTAACACTAATAATCCCAGTCATGCCAGCTGGCACTATCAAGGAGAGAAACAAATGTGCCGTATTAATATTTTGAATGTCATTCGATAATTTCCTATCACATAAGCGGTAACGGGCTTCCGGACGGCGTGATGCGTAGATGCGCGGTGCGGCTGCGGCGGTGGCGCGGTGGCGCAGGGGCGCGGGGGCGCTGTGTTGTGACGGCTCACGTGGTCGATACCGCGCGTCACTGACGTCACTACGCTACTACTCCCGTCTAAACACCCCCCGCGAGCGCGCACCTCACCCCCATGACCTATTGCATAGTTACGCCCACCTGGGTCAAGGCGCGAAAATCGCGTAAGATCTGCCCGCCCTATCCACCACTTCAATACAAACATTTGAGTCGTCCCTTTTCCTTTTTAAGATTATGTGAAGGCCACAACTGTACGATATTATACGTTTTACAGTAAATAATACTTAATAAGACACAAAAATGCATTAGGTAGATATGCTTTTTTCTCAATATTTTTAACACAAATCTTACGCCTCAATAATTAGCTGTATTATTACACAATTTGTACCTACTGAGGGCTGATTTTTCAATCATCAGATAAAAGCTATCAAATACATTATAACCGGACTGAATATAAAAGTGAAACAATTGAACTATTTTATTCATACAACTGTAATTTTTAATTGTTTATGTTAATATATTTTATCCTAAAACCAACTTTTACCTGACGATGGAAAAAATCGGCCCTTAAACATATAAACTATGTACTAAACATAAGCTACTGAGTAATGAGATAGAGGACTGAATCAAAGAGTGAACTAAAACGCCGCGTCCCGCCGCCGCTGTTAAGAGCTTTACGAGGATAGATGCAGATGCCTATGGACCACAGCAACCACTTACCATCAGGTGGATTGTGTGCTCGTGTGTCACCCTTTATAAAAAAAAAGCGAACCTATATTTTTCCAAACATTGTCTTCTCGCGTAGATTTAAGTTTTTCCAACACAATGCAATTGTTCCAGTTGCCCTCATAGACATAGAGGGTTCGTTTTTGACAAAACTAATTTTTCCAGTAGGTATCACCATTCCAAGCTGCACCGCATTCGAAACGGTGTGCTGCGATTAAAAATTCCAATCTCCGATGTTGGTAATAAAACCATTATAATGAAATGGAACTGAGTCTTGCAGAGTTTCATTTTAGTTCAGCGGCATGTCTGCCGCACGTCGGACAAGTTGTGGGCTAAACGCTCCACATATTGGGTCACACAACCTTACACGACGACGCGGTAAACCCAGACAAATATGGCAGGATGTATTCGACAATTTCTCTACCAACTGGACTCAAGATGGCGTGAATTGTGAAGAGTGGAAAAAGGTTAGGAAGGCTACAAAGTTACACTCATCAACACAGAGTCGAACCGTCTCTAATGGACTGGAAGGTAAATGTGCTCAGCAAGTGACAATTGCTTGGTGAATTACAAGCAGCCAAAATAATAAAAGGCTGCCCACCAGGAGGCGTGTTATCACCACTTCTGTGGAACATGTTATATGACGCGATAAACGATAGGAGTGCATCAAATACTGGGATAAATATATTATATGCGCGCTGGAGTCGCTCCCCGTGGTCTAGCTAATATGCTTAAAACAACTAGCGATCTGATCTGACAAAGAAATACTCCGAAATAATAAATCTCGACGTGTATTCGACAATACCACCCTATACCAAACCCCGAAGTTATCTAAGTTAGTATGGGTTACCCAAAATACACAAATCAAACGCTCCACTTCGTCCAATAATGACCCAAATTGATACACCAACTTATAAACTGGCTTAACACTTGGCAAAAATACTGTTATCGCTGAGAGGACACACAAAAGCACATACAAAGGATTCATACCAATTTGTCAGTATGTTTTTTGATAGTGCATACCCGCCTCGCGGGGGCAAGGACGGATTGTGTAGTGTACTAAAACCTCGGTTTTCGTACACATCCGCGGCCCCACCAGCGCCGGCTGCCCCATAGCGGCCCTTCCTCGAGAGAGGACTAATCCTCCCCATTTCCTTCTCAGGTAAGTCGCACCAGAACACATAGAGCGCCACCAACTACACCTGCGCAAGGGACGCCCCTTCAAGCACTCGATCGCCAAGCCCATTCATAGTGGCCACCTCGGAATAGCCGAGTGGGTTCTTCTTTGTTCACCGCGGGTGACCAAGCCTTGGCTACTAAGCCCCCCCACCACTGTTCGAAGAGGTCGAGGGGGGGAGATAAAAGACATACATCTTGCTGCCAATGAAACTATGGTCCAGTCACTATTTACGTGCCTACTTGTTGAAGACTGCATATCAATTGTGACTAGGAAGATAGAAGAAAACAATATGTCCGCAGAATATGCAGTATTACTCAGACATTGCCTCATAACTGGCTATCTATTGTGGAAGGAAAAGTTGTACAAACAAGTAATGGTGTGGCAATGGGCTCACTTGTATATTTTTTTATTTTATAGAATGGGGGTGACAAACGAGCACACAGCTCAACTGATCATAAGTGGATGGTGTGGCCAAAGACATCTACATTTATCTTCGATTAAGAATAAAAATACAGATGCGTTGTCACCCCTTAGGGCTACGATGGAATACCTCGTTTCCAGTAAAAGGGGTGTCCGGTCCTCTACACTCACCATACGAAACACAGCATGAATGTGCTGCTATTTTACGTTGGTATTATGTGAGAGCATGGTCGTTCCCCGGTCGAGCCAAACCATTCGTGCTGCAACCATAATATGCTGCAGCGTGGCTCTACCACGTTAAAAATGTATCTCCAATTGTCGCCGATATATATATTCATGGAGAACTTTAAGGAGAAAGCTCTTCTTACTGCACCTATGAATCTAAGATTCTACATGCGCTACGTAGACGGTACTTCCACAATTTCACCATCAGACAAAGTTATTGCTTTCTTAGATCACATTAACTCCATAAACTTTAAAACTCAATTCACAATGGAGTTAGAGGCAAATAATTCTTAAACTTTCCTAGATGTTTTAGTCATTCGAAATCCTGATAACACCATCAGTCCACTGAGTATAGAAAAAGACCCATACTAATCGATATTTAAACGGTGAATCTCACCACCATCATTCACATATAGGTACCGTTTGAAAGTCTTTGTTACAGAGAGCAC